TGGTTCAGCAGCCCAATGTTTGGCCGTAATCGATCCCTTCGAATGCTTGAAACTCGTTTTATCCCCAAAATTCGCTTGATTCAAACCAGTAGTTGAGGCGATAAGATATTTTTGGCTGTGAAGAAACTCAAAAAATTCTTCACAACCAATTGAAGGTAACCTCATCAAACTCCTATAAGTCACTGTCACATGCAGTCATGATTCATAGCGTATGCGACAACATTGCTGACAATTTTTAAGGAAGAATATGTAAAACGTTAAAATTGTAAAATTCATTCAATGTAAGAAGTTGTAAAATATGTAAACGGTTTCTTCTCAAAGCTGCAACAAAGTTGGCCCCACGTTCCAAATCTCTGCAGGTCGATAAATCACAATTCTCCCCACCTGACCGGTCTACTTATGAACAATTACTCCTCTCTTTTATGAAAAAGGTGACAGCGAAAACATTGAGTAAAAAAAAAAGACGATTCCCCATACTAACATTTAATGCAACGTCTTCGGCATGATGCCGTTGTCCATTCAGAATCCGAAATTCTTCAAAGTAGCACTCGGACGTTGGTGGTTTCTTTGACAAACGCAAAGCAAATCTTACCGCCCACGGCAGCACAACCAACCTCGCTCATCGGCGAAGCAGATTTTGATTTCTTCGAACGGGGCTTGTGAGATTATTAAGGGGAAGGGAGGCTAGAAAATGATAATATAAAAAAGGCGAGAGTAATGCGGCGAGAGTACTTAGAGACCCCAGCAGAAGAAGTGATCGCTGCAAAAAGCTCCTTCTAGGCGGCTTTTTATAAGTAGGGATAGAGAGGTTTGAGGACCTTCGGACGGAAAATTATTCGGGAGTGATTTTGTTGAATTCTCTGACTAAAAAGTCTTCAAGTTTGACGCTAGTGCGAAGAGTCACAGTGACCTCGGTTTTTCCGAAGACAGCGCTGCATAATGTTTGGTATGTGTCGACCGCCACCTCCCTCATCGCACGTCACTATGTTTGCTAAGGTTTCAGGCCTGGGTTAACGTATATTTGTCGACTTTTTATATTTTCGGAGTAGTTCTTGTTTTTTGATTGTGTTAGAGTCTCTTCTAGGAGTTTAGATCATATTCTTAGACAAGCATATACTGGTAGTTGTCGTTCGGCTGATCCTTTCGGTCATTTTTGCTCTTTTGCCTCTGTTGAGGACGTTGTTCATTGGTTTCCTCACAATTCTGTTCCGTAATTAACTAGAGAACATTTAGAGAATATCGGACAGGGACGGTATCAAATGAGGAGAGGCCTTTGAGTAAATAGCAGGCTCGATTCCGCAGCTTGAAGCCCCACACCGCAGCAAAATCCATTTTTTTTTTGCTTCGATGTTTGCGGGTTCCTGTTTACAGTATCGAAATTACAATTGCAAGTGCCTTCCAGCGTCCTACAATTCCTAGCTGAAGCTATTCGATAATCTTTGTATCAGATTGTATGACAGTCGCTGGAAGCGATGACGATGGGGTAGCTGTAAGAACTGAGCATTTTTAGCCTGAACCCCTTTGAATATCTCTATGAAAACCTCATATATCGAAGGTCCTTCATGGCCAACTTTGGCGAGGACGATATAGAACCCAAATCTTCCGAAGAGAAGAGATGACGTCCTAATGGATTGATTGTAAGGGGACGGGCAGTTTTGGGTAATCGATTCGCCGCGCGCGGCAGTCGCAGACCATTCGCCTCGTTATTACAGTTCTAGCGTTCTTCACACAGTTCAGTTGATATTATATTAATTGATATTATGCGATTATTATTGATCAATTGATATTATGCGATTATTATTTTTGGTATAATTCTGAAGTTAGTTCTTTTGTTCCTGTATTTCTCATCTGCTGCTGCATTCCGCTACACTCCTTCGCGTGCGGCGTTTCTCTTGCCGCGACGCGACAATTCCGATCCTACTGCACCACATGCAGGATTGAATACTCATGGGTAGCGTTCAGAACACGATTATTTTTTGACGACGGAATTACATTTACACCTACAATCACTAATCCATTGGTAACCATATTTACACGCATAGCTGAGCAGTTTGAAACATGACATTCAAGACAGGTTATTATGGGATGAAGCACTCTGTGAAGGCAAATTTTCAGCGACACCTCTGTCCACGTGGTAAACGACATTACTGCCATTCTGAGTAAACATGATGGAGGTCCTTCTTCTTCGTTCGCCATCGTATTTCTTTGGTTATCGATTCCCACGAATTTTCACTGTTTATGAAAGTTATTCGTCATTTTTAAGCCGTCAGCAATTGCAGACGTTGATTAGTCATTGCCACTGTCATGCCCATAGCCTCCACTCGACCTCTATCCGTTCTCCGCTTCCACTTTCCCTGTACCAAGTCTTATTTCTCTTGCAGAACTTCCCATCTGAAAGGCTATTATACTATGAAGACCGTTTTGCTACTGGTTTGTCGAAATTTCGAAGGAATTAAAACAAACATTTAATCTAGGCCAAGCAGGTTCGAATTTAGTGATCATAAAACTGGTGAACAGACCCGTATTCGGTGCTAACAGAATTTCGGGAGGGTAAAAGGTAATTCGATACCTTGGCTGAACCTGAAATCGATTTTCTTGAGAAAACTTTACTTTCTGTAAAACCGGTAGTTATAAATACGACCACGCTCCACTTGAGAAGTTGACAACAGCGAAGCGATCTCTTTAGTCAGACACTGAGCAAGTTTTACCTTTTGCTTTTCAAGTTTCAGCCGGATATTCTCTTTTGCTTCATCTCTCAACGCTAACGTTTCCTGTCTTAGACACCACATTGACTTACTTCTAACAGTTTCACTACTTTTAAAGGCTCAGTAACATCCAAAATTCGAAGTGATGACACAATTGAACTCCTCAATCAATGTAGGAGGTGCACTGTAATTCCCAGTCTAACAGATACCCGCAGAAGTGCGCTGCGAATGGGGTTCTTCTCTGGGTGATTTTGGAGAGGTTCTACAGGGTAGCTTTCTTCAATTATTCATTTCTATACCTCTGATTCTGAGTCGCCTTTGCATCACTTTGAAAACTATCTATGTTTTCGAGAAAAGCGACTTTCTCCCGATGAAACGACTAGTACTGAAGCTGGACAAGCTATGTTGACGCCATTGCGTTGGCGATCATTCGGTATTTATAAGAAGTAGCTCTCCTTAACTTCAAACCGATGTTCCAGCTCTATGTATGGCTCTTGCAAAGTTGCATCTACTTTCCTTTCACGATTTGGATAAAAGTGAGATATCCTTCGATAATAGTTTAGGGGATATCGCAAACAGCACTACCACTGATACATATGTAATCCCCCAATCGAATTCCGCCCAAGCCGTCGAACTCGTAATATTTTCAGAGGGGTCAACTGATTGGCTTCGGACTGTTAGGCATATAAAGTATGGGCCACGAGCGTGGAATGATTCAAGCGAACCAACATTTAGCCTGCCTGGTCTGTTCACGGCCCGATCTCATGCTCATTCTGAAGCACTTTTTTCTTTTTAAGCGTCAAACCATCAATGCCGGCAAAGTGAACGGTCAAACGAAAAAGAATGAGGGAAATACAAATAAATGGCGCTGGAATAATGCTGCTGGCTTTGTTTGCTGTTTGATCCTTCTCATAAATAACAGCCAGAATTTCGCCTTTTTGTGTTACCGAAAATGACCCTCAAGCTAAGTCATCAACTCATTTGTAATAAATCTCAGCGTTTTTTTTTTCGACCAACGCACGTCAAACATGTGGTTTGGATCAGTCCGCTGAACCTGAA